GTGGTCAGTGTGCACTTCTTTCTGCTTTCCTCCCATGAGTTTCTGACTCTGTGAACATGCTGATGCTCTACAAATACTTTGCATTATTTTGTAGCTGCTTTCACATCAAACTCTGGACAATGTCCCTAAACTCACAAGACTGTTACCTGCTCTTTTTACACATCAGCTTAATCAGATGTTTCAGGATCTTTGTATTAGAGAGCTGGCAGGTCAAAGGGCATTTAACGTCTGACCCGATTGATTCTGACATGCGTCTAGACAACTTCAAGGCAGGACCGCGTGTGTGCGTGAAAATGGCCGCCGTGGTTGTTTTGGGAGTGACCTTTGAATAAAAATGAAAACCATCACGTGGGACGCACACTCTAGTCCAGGCCACCCTGACCCTTGGGCCTGGGCCCAGCAGTCCCAGTGTGTGATTCATTCATGTCTCCACATGCAAAAACATCTGGTATTTCACAAGAAAAAGGAGCAGGGATAAGATAAAAGTGAGACAGAAAACAAGTCTAACACAAGTAATGATCCCACAACACTCAAGAGTCATTAAATGACCACTAAGGAGGTTAGAGCAGGACAGATTAGCGTCACTAACGTCTCTAAATCTACTGAATATTCTGTGAAATACTCTGTGAAATGACTCCAAACTATATGTTTTAGCTAGATCTAACTCAAGCACGCAAACACTTCCAACTTCTTTTATCATAAGGTTTTGTTATTCATGTGTTGCTTTGAGTCTCTTTCAACAACAAATAAACACGTAAATGAAAACCCACAATTTCCCTTAATACCACGGAGACAGACAAAGACACAAGTTCAGACAGAATTTAGCAACTAACCAGAAACATTTGGTAGTGACCAAGAATTGAGCTAAAAAAGGACGATTATTGGACTATTTGAAAGGTGAAGCAAAACTAGATCTCTTTTCCACACCTGGCAGTAAAAGGCGTCAAGTGGATTGTCATGACGAAAAAATGGTACCACAGGTACAAAAGTCACCCGTCTCTTCAAAAACTCAATTTTTAAAGAGTAAAAATATGAATACACAAGATTTTAAAATGTTTCAATAACTAAATAATTTACACTGGTTTTTTCAGAAAACTGCACAAGACTTGAACATCTTCTTGAAACAGACAGACAGACAAGCCTAAAATATGTATTGTTACTCTACTACAGTGTCACTAAAGGAATTTCACGGGTGAGTGGAAATAAAAGGCTAAAAAGAAACAGGAAAAACAAAAGTAGCGCCTCCACCTTTAAACCAAGCAGGTGTTATCGTTCAAAAACCTGAGAAACCTGAACACGATAAAAGCTTTCAAACAGCGACGGGATGACATGGGAGGAAACGACACGTGCTACCGACGGAGAAGCTTTACACCGTCGAGAGGAATTCTAGCGAATGGCAAAAAACCTCCCTCCCCAGGGGTGGAGGAGGGAGAAAGTGCGAGAGAGACCCGACCCACGACCTGAAGGGAGGAACAAAGACTCCAGTCTGCTTCTCAAGCTGCCGGAGATTCAAACACTGCAGGCTTGTTGGTTTCTGCAATCATGCATCCCCCACTGCCACACACACACACATGCTATTCATGCCTTACTAAATATAGTGTCCAGTGACCTAACAGGAGCACCTTGCCTCTTAACACAACCTGGGCTGTGTGTGTATGTTGGTGAAGTTTCACCGCAAAGAAACTAAAGTGAAAAGTGTGTTTAGTGTTAAAGATTAACCGATTTGTAAGGCTGATTCTGCTAAAAGTCACAAAATATAAAAAATTTGTTCTTTTAATTTTTATTCTAGATTTTAGAAACAGGTTTAAGGAGATTTGGAGGGAGCACATTTCGCTGATTTGTCGTCTGAATGAACATCAAAAAAGTTTCAGACTTTTGCTCAGCTGTCTTCAGTCTGAGAAGCTCAACCAACTTTAGCCACAAAGTGGGAGATTACAAAGTTTCCGCCAATCAGCAGGCGATGGTGCAAAAAAAGGGGGCTGCACGAGTAAATCACCATGCAGTGGCTGGTTTATGTACTTGTTGTTGTAGCAAAACAAAGTAGAATTAGCCACACCTTATAATCTGTGAATTCAGGTGTGTTCAGTCCCATCGGAACAGGTACGACATCAAAATTATGCAACAAGTCAGTTTGGGAGGTTCCTCGATATTCCACGATCAACTCCAGGTGTTTTTATTACAAAGGTTTCAGGAATACCAGCAACTCCAGCACGAAGCGTCAGACCACGTAAAGTCACAGAGTGCGGTCGTCACCAACGCTCTGCTGACTCAGTAACTGCAGGGCTCCAAACCTCCTCTGACGTTAACATCAGCACAGAAGCTGAAGGCTGGGAGCTTCACGGCCTCCATGGCTGAGCAGCTCCTGGAGGTGTAATGTGGAGGTGTCCCAGTACTTCTATATATCGTTAGCTTCATAGCATAAGTGCCTAAGTCATTTTTTTGTGTTTTGTGTTTCAGACGGACAGGATGATGCAGCAGTGGTAGGGGGGTAAAGTTAGGCAAAAATCTCAATTTGACCAAAAAATGACTTAGGCACTTATGCTATGAAGCTAACGATATAGTATATATAGTTTAGGTAAGCGCAATGTGACCTATGGCCAGCAGGGGGCAATGCCGTAGGTTGGTAAAAAGAAAAAGATTTCTTTAACAGCTAGCTAGGTGATGTCATGTTAGCAAAATACTTATTTTACACCACCTGTCGAAGGCACTCTGAAATGAGCTGTGTAGAAGAAGTATGAACCTTATTAACAAACTTTTAAAGCACTTTATAATCAGATCTAACTGATTAGGTACATGAAGTTTGAATAAATTTCCATGCGGCTGCAGAAATAACTGCCCAGACATGTTGCCAAGATGGCTGTCAAGTGGCAGGTCTTGCCTCTGGAACAAATTGCCTGCATTTTCCAGTGATCTGCAGTATATAAATCAGTAGATATAACGTATGCAAAATAGAAATACATCAGAAATGCTTACATGCAAATGGAATGGAACCAATATTTCCATTAAGTTGGTAATGATATGCATCTTTCTCTAAAGATTTAGCTCATACTCAAAGCTGCTAACGGCGGGAAAAAGCTGCAAGCGCATCGTGAAGTCGTGGTGGTGAATGATTCAGCAAAACAATGGCTGTTTTTACACATCCAGTGGTGGGTTGTTACCAACGCTGACTTTCACTCAACTTTTGCTCCATTTTTGGCCTCCCTCTGACCAACTGCTTCTTTTGGTAAATGTTTTTGATCGGAAGGCTCACAGAAATGCAAACGGCTGCATAATTTACTGCATTTTTCTGTATTTTCATTTTTCAAAGATCACAGCTACAGCTCTCGGGTCTGCAGGTATGTGAGAGGAACTGTAGCCTCGGGTCGTGTTTAAAGGCCCTTCATTCACAGCATGAATGCTCTCTGAAGCTTTAACACAAGTCTTTACCTGTCTGCGGGAGGCTGTCTGTGTTTGTGTGAGCCTGCTTTACTCACTCAAATCTCATCACACAGCCACAACATAGAGCAGGAACACCACTTCTTTCACTTTTGGGGGGGAGGGGGCGGGCAAGGCAGCATGATGCAAATGATTAAATTACAGATTTGTAACGTGGCTTAAAGCTGGGGGGGAAAGGGCTCAGAGAAGTTAATATTAAGTCAATGCAATGTCCTCAGAAAGGATGGAAACAAAAGTCAGGCTCATTAGGCGCCTGTGGTGTCTGATTCCCGTCCTGTAAGTGAGCTGGATTTCTCCCTGCAAATGCCGACGCTCCCCCTTCCTTCTCCACACACACAAATATGCAGATTTGACACACAAACACCTCTCAGTCTCACTTTCTCCATCTCACTCGCTCGCCTCTTGGCCCACAGTGTTTCCCGAGAAGTCACACAGCTGGGAGACACCCTTCAAGTTACATAACTGCAGGCCTCATCTTACTGAGGCCAGACGCAGCACTCATGTTTCTCTCTTTTTTCTACTTTAGTCTGCTGCTCTTTTCTCTGCACTGCAACGCCGTTGTTTGTGACTAACACCTTCTGTGGGCACATAAAAGCAGAAGCTTGTGTTTAAGCAAATAACGTGGTAGAACTGAAGCCGATATAATGTTGACTGCGCGTGAATAAATTCTTTAAATATCCCCACTTTGCATGGATGTCTTTTATAAATCAGATACCTGACCAATATAATAACAGCAGCTATAACGAGTTCATGGTCCGACTCCAGGTTTTATCATCTACGGGACATGAAGCAGCAGCTCACTTTAACACACTTTATAAATATTTAAAGGATACTGTTAGGTAGAGAGCCAGCTCCAAAGAATCCAGCATTAGTAAAGCACTAAAACTAAAGTTATTACTCATTTAAATCTACTTGTTGCAGGGATGGTGACTCGATGCTCGGCGTCTCCAGATGCTGAAGGATTCTTGAGAATAGCACTGGTAGCTCCAAAGCCACTGGTGTACGAGTGTGGTTGTCTGAATGAGAAAAGTATTAAAAATATCTGCGTGTGCATCTATACTAAAGAAAGAAATACTACATAAATGAGGACCTGGAAATATATCTATATTTTTAAAAGCAATTGCTTTGATTTGACTGGAAAAATAATGATTTTCAGGAAAGCAGCTTATAAATAAAACCGCCAGATACCTGTAATGAGGTCCACATTATTCATCTCTGAAGTATGAAAGAGTAGAAGTACACAGTAGTGTAAATATACTTGTGTGGAGTGCTTTAAATGTGTCTTAGTGAGTCATCTGAGTAAAACCTTGCAGACTGATTTGTTTGAAAAATGTAAAAATGAGTCAGAGGAGCATCCTGGACCCCAAGGCTCAACATCTGAATGGAGAGCAGGGTACTACACACACACACACACACACACACACGCACACACACATCCTCCCCCCTCCTCTCTACTAATACCTCATCTAAGTGAGATAAGGGTGATCATCCCCCGCTGAGCAGCTGCAGAGCCTATCACCAGACCCCTGATCGATCATTTACACCCCAGCTAATCGATCACTTACTGTGGTGTTGAGCACAGAGTCGATTTCTCCGGCCTCGGACAGCTCGCTGAGGTTCCTGTCCCAGTGAAGAAACGACTCACTGCTGTCCAGGATCTCCATGATTTCCTCCACACAGACTCTCTGTGGCCTTGTTGTTTTTCCCCTCCTCCTCCAGCAGCAGCAACAGCAGCAGAAACACAGCGGGGCTCTGTTGCAGTGCAGACAGTCAGGCTGGAAACCTCAAACTCCACCGGAAAGTTCTCCACAACTTTTTGGAGTGAAGGCAAAGAAATAAAAACACAGTCGAAACACGTCCAGTCGGTTCAGATACAGAGAGATAAATGTGAGAGAGAGCTGAAGCAGACACATTCAAGCTGAGAGCTGCTGCTGTTGTTGTTGTTGTTGTTGTTGTTGTTGTTGTTGTTTATCATCTCTCCTCTCTGGATCAGGGTCCACAGAGTGTTTCCACCAGGCTCCCCTTCCTTTTCTTACCTCCTCCTCTCAGACACAGGAATGTGTGGGAGGAGTCACAGACAGCGAGACGGAGGGACAAAAAACAAAAAACAAAGCAAACTCAAGTCTTAATCTCAGCCTTTAGTACAACTGATAAAGACCATCAAACATCGCAACATATTAAAAAACAGAACATGTAAAAGCTCCGTCATTAACTTTTGCCACTAGTTTGAAAATAGTCAGGTTAACTAAGCGGAGCTTCCGGTCTCTAATTTCAAAATAAAAAACCTAATAGTGATTGCAGAGCTTTTATTCTCGTTGTTGGCAAAGAAAAAAATGTCACTAATTTAACAAAAACAAAAGCAACAATATTGTTTCAATAATAATGATAATAATGATAATACATGCAAAGATATTGATTGCATACAAAAATATTTGCTTTTGTTAATTGTGATGTAAAAAAAATACTACTACTAGTACCTTGTTGTAACAATAATAATAATAAATTATTATTAATAATAATAATAATAATAATAATAATAATAGTCAAGTTTAGACATTTGTATAATTATTATCTAAAGCTTATTTAGAGTTTCTTTAAAAACAAACAAACAAACAAACAAACCTATTATTACAGCATCAAAGCCTTTACATTGTATAATCAACTTATCCAGCCGCCAGAAGTCTTCAGCTTAGATTTAAAGATTGCATGGTTATCTCAGCAATTTTCTTACATTTAAATATAAAACCAACAACGTCTTGTCAAAGGGCTTTCGGGGTTTTAGTTAAATTCTGTTTCCCAAAAGTTGTTTCTGTTCATCAGGCCTTAGCGTTTTCAGTGGGAGAAACGTTTTCTCCTGAGAACGTCTTGGGGATTTACTTACCTGGATAATTGAGCATGCATCAAGAAATTCTTTGCACACATACATTTCATTGGAACATTTTCAAAGATTATATTTATGTATCTGAAACTACTGCTGCACAATTGTTGCTGTTACAATTGTGAAGGGTGTCTCCTCTAATCCAGTATATTTTTTTAAACATTGTACAAACTATTAACTCTGAATGTTTTTTTATGTAGTGTGGTCATTCCAGCATGCAAATATTACACAATGTTTAGATGATTGTAAATTTAAACTTAAATTAATTTATCCCTAGGCTATCTCTTAAAAATGTAACAAAAATAAAATAAAAAATGTTTTAATTACAATATTAGAAATAATTAGAGTAGTGTGATTGCTTTGAAGATTGGTGCTGCTTGAGATCTAATGGTTAAGTATGACGCATTTTTTTTTCTAACTTCTTGCATGACAATGAATATTGTAGTGTTTTTCTTATTAAAAGAAAAAATATCAATTGTATATTTCTAGTCCGTGAGTTATGAAGGAAAATGAAACTAAGCAAAGTTACAAACTAAAGTCAATCCTGTCTTTCAAAAAACCTTTTATTTTTTTAAATAACCCGAGGCTACTTCCGGTATCACTGTGGTTGATTGGACTTGAATCCACAGGGTTCTCCCGTAACTCAACCGCCCGCCCACATTCGTCCGCCTGACCAATCACATCTCTTCTGTATTTAAAGCTCCTCAGAGCCTTTCAATGACAACCTGCGCAGCCAATCAGGAACTTCAAAAACTCATGCGACCAATTACTTTAGGCCAAGAATACCTTCTCGTTTTAATCCCACCCCGGCTGCTACTGAAACAGCCAATCACATTATTCTGGTTAAAACAAAAACACATGAGTTCATTTTAAAACAATATTTGAAAAAAATATATACCTTAACTATAAAAATTACATTTTCAGCTTATTTCAAACGTTTTCTCTCATTTTGTTTTGTATATTTACCCAATATAAAGTAATTTTTAAGTGCATTTAATAAATATTTTAAACAAATGTTGTTTATTGTATCTTTAGGAACATATATGTATTAAAACAAACAAACAAATGTCTAGTATGTCCTTCTGAACAGTTCAGTCACCGTGCAGGAAGGAAATGAAGATAAACAGATAAGTGCAACTGACAAAAGAGTGACAGAGCAGAAAACAAGAGTAAATGTAACTGATAATATTTGTCAAATTCCCCACATAGTAATGTGGTTATAGCTATAGATGACTCATGCAGTTAATAATGAAAACAGCAGAAATTAAAACCAGTCTTAAGGTGTTGAACTTTGCGAGACATGTGAACCTTGACCTGCAGTGAAACTGCTTTTATTTAGGAGCAGAGCTGGAAGAAAAATGGTGAAAATACTTAAAATAATTTTTTCTTTAAAGGAAGAAAAAAAAAAGGTAACATGGGGTCAAATGGGACAAAACTGCTACCACATCAGAGATGTATCTTATTTTGCAGAAGCGTCCACTCCTGAGGCTGATCATGTAGCAAGACAAAAATGTGCAAACTGCACGCAGATTGCAACACTTGAGATGACTTTGCTTCCAACACAGCAGCTTTCTGCTTGAGGAAGAGACAGGAAGCAGTTTAATTAAACTCCGAGAAAAAAAGACCTCCCTTTGAAGCCGTTTAGTTTCAGAGACAGGCACAGAGATTCGATTACCTGCCATAAATCTGATTTTAAGACCATCTGCAACACATCAACATTTCACGCGCATGGAGAAACAAACCTGTTTTGTGGTGATGCATTTTACACATAATCCAGTGACTTTCTGAAAGCTTTACTTCATTTAAGAAGCGGGAGATCACGTTAGGCCATATAAGACGACCTAACCTGTGAGTTAACCTCGGCAGCAGCTACTTGAAATGGAGATTATTGCTGCATCTTTCCTAGAAAACTCAACGATTTCAAGCATAAAGCGTGACGGAGATGCGATGAGGGAAAATAACTTGCAGGCAGAATTTAATTTAAATTTCGAAACAGGTTTGTGGGCGTCCCTGTGAAACTGGCTCACAGGGTAAATTTGTCTTACTCACCATGAAACAACTTCAGCTTATAAAGACAGTATGTCTTTACTGGCACAAGGAAACAAAATCTATAACATTACAAGTCACAGTAAGTGAGAGCAGAGTGAGAGCTGCTCTTAACAGAGCTACAACTTTTCAAAGAGTCCCCAAACTCAGAGTTATGATTCAGGAGAAGCGTTTAGAACACTTGGATGGATTAAACAACATTAAAGTTATCTGTAACGTCTAAGTCCTAATCAGTACTGAGCTCTTTCTGCTCCTCCTGAAGCCTCAAAGACTTCATGTGCACCAGCAGGTGGTGCCGCAGCCAAAGATGATCATAGCTTATCCTGTCCGTCCTCCCGGCTTCTTGTGAAAACAGTTCCTTTACTTCACATCCTTGAGTCTTATTTTGGTATAAAGAAGAAAATACAAAAAGAAGTCGCCTTGGTGTTTGGTGGAGACGAAGATGGAGAGGAAGGTCCTTCAGGTTCTGTCTCGCACGTTATCGCTCAGGAAAATGATGTTGTCTGCAGAGAATCAAAAAGAATCAGAGAGGAGAACATCGGGGTGACATGTTGACAGAGTAGATGTGCGTCACTGGATTTAGGCTTCAGCTGGAAATCTACGCTTTAACAAACAAACAAACAAACAAACAAACAAACAAAAAAACCCTGAATCCTGTGCAAAAGTCCCAGCATTTTATGTCTTTCTATTGGCTGCTACTGCATATGAAACACAGAGACACCACCACACAGTAAAAAACAAGTAATAAATGCTGGCAGTGCCGACGCAACGAGTATCCGGCAAAGTCTAAATCAGGCCCGAGTGTGTTTGTGTGGGTGTTTGACCTGACCTGCGATGATGGTGGTGGCCTGACGTCTGACTTGGTTCTTGTCCACGTATTCGCCGTAGTCCAGCTTCCCCTCTACTAGAATCCTCGACCTGAAAATGACAATGGTTCATTCGCACAATGTTCTTTTATTCTGAAACTCCTAATTCTGGAGTTTTTCTTCTTAAAACAGAAGTCGTAGGAGTCACTGAGTAACTACTTCTTACTCAAAATACCAAAGACCCCCCCCCCCACCGAGGAGTGTTTTTACTCTGCAATACTAATAAAATGCTGCATGTCTTTATAAGGTAAAGAAGCACTACAAGTGATTTTACATCAGGTTGTGTTTACTTGTCACGGAGGCTGTGAGAACAACCTGTTCCTGCCTGGCAGCTCCAACGTCAGCATCTTTGACTTGATATAGCCCCTCTCCCTCCTCTGCACATGTCCAAACCATCTAAGCCTCGCCTCCATCTCTAACTCTGTCACAAAGGTGGATGCTGATTCTTACAGTAACTACTGCAAGCTCTAAATCTACAATGCAGATAGGATTACTCTGATTACTCTGTGATTGGCTTGGGTTTGGGAACATTTAGAGAGCTGGTAAAAATAGTCATGCAGCTTTATTCCCCCTTTCCCATCCGCAGCAGAGCAGTAAATCTACACATGTATTCACAGCTAACTCTTCTGCCTGTACAGGAAACATGCAGGTCCTACCCTTTTTTGACGTACTGGTACGCCACGTCTCTCAGACCAGGTTTGAATATAGACACACGATGCCACGTCGTCTTCTGGCTGATGTCACCTGGAATTAGAAAACAGCAGCAGGCGAATCAGATTAATTGGTATTCAGACTCTCCAAAGAAACAAGCGCGCTTGAAATACCTTTAAAAACCGAGCTAAGCCCAAGCCCAAGAGAACATGAGAAAAACAGTCAATCCTCTTATTTGGAGTGTTATTCATTCTAATATTTAAACACTTTAAAGGCTGCCTGCACGGCTTTTCTTTCACAGTGAGCTATGAAACGCGTCTCGTCAGTTGTATTTATGATTTCTAATGACGATCATGAATGAACCATAAAGGCTGGAGTGTCTGATGATGACTGAGCCCAGTGCAGAGGCACATGAAGAGCAGCTGTCTAGACTCAAAACCTTGAAATCCAGCAGTAGTAATGAATAACAATCTGTTAACGTTCGCCGACGCCCTCTAGTGGCAAATGCAAGCAGTTGCATCCAACTTTGACTGATAAAACAGTGATGTCACAACAACATGAATATCCCACCTTCAATAGAAGCTCAAGTTAATCGTTTATTTTGTTAAAGTCTATTAGTTTCCTAAATAATTTCTTCCTTCTTGTTACTGAAACATCATCCAGATAGTTTATTATATCTCCTTTATTTGCACCCTCTCATCAGCTCACTCAGCTTTATCAGTGCATTTTTAACATATATTTATTTTAGCATTTAAACCTTTTAAAAGAACACTTGACCTTTTAT